GTCCTAGTGAAGAGTTTTATCTGAAACAATAGCATTTTGTAATTGTAATTTAACAGGAGTCTCTTTTTACATCTCACAATGACCTTGTGTGTGTGTGTGCCTCTTTAGGTTCTTGCAAGTTTCTCCACGTTAAAAGTGGAATTGCTAAATCACAGAGTACACCCATTTTAAGTTTCAACAAATTTTTTAAAAGATTTTATTCATTTATTTAAGAGGTAGAATTACAGACAGTGAGAGGAAGAGACAAGAGAGAAAGGTCTTCCATCCATTGATTCACTCCCCAAATGGCCGCAAAAGCCGGAACTGTGCTGATCTGAAGCCAAGAGCCACATGCTTCTTCCTGGTCTCCCATGCGGGTGCAGGGGCCCAAGCACTTGGGCCATCTTCTACTGCTTTCCCAGGCCACAGCAGAGAGCTGGATTGGAAGAAGAGCAGCCGAGATTAGAACTGGCGCCCATATGGGGTGCCAGTGCCACAGGCAGAGGATTAACCTACTATGCCATGATGCTGGCCCCAAATTTTAACAATTTTTTAAAATATTTTTTAAACTTATTTGAAAGGCAGAGTTACAGAGAGAAGAGGAGAGAGAAAGAGATCTTCCATCCACTGGTTCACTCCCCAGTTGGCTACAATGGCCAGGGCTGGGCCAAGCAGAAGCCAGGAGCCCAGAGCATCTTCCCCGTCTTCCAGGTGGGTGCAGGAGTCCAAGCAGTTGGGCCGTTTGCTGCTACTTTCCCAGAAGAAGAGCTGGACAGGAAGTGGAGCAGCTGGGTCTTGAACCAGTGCCCATGTGGGATGCCCGCATAGCAGGTGGAGGCCTATCCTGCTACATCACTACGCTAGCCTCTAACAGATTTTGTTTTAAAGATTTATTTATTTATGTGGGTGTTTTTTTAAAGATTTGTTTATTTACTTGAAAGGCAGAGTTAGAGAAGCAGAGAGAGAGAGAGGGATCTTCCATCTACTGGTTCCCTCCTCAAGTGGCCTTAATGGCCGGAGCTGGGCTGATTTGAAGCCCGGAGTGAGGAACTTCTTCCGGGTCCCCCACACAGGTTCAGAAAGTCAGAGTTACGGAGAGGAAGAGGAAGAGGGAGAGGGAGAAGGAGAGGGAGAAGGAGAGGGAGAGGGAAAGAGAGAGAGAGACAGAGGCAGAGAGAGAAGTCTTCCATCCATTGGTTCACTTGCAGAGATGGCCCCAATGGCCTGAGCTGAGCCAATCCGTAGCCAAGAGCCAGGAGCTTCTTTCTGGTATCCCATGTGGGTGCAGGGTCCCAAGGACTTGGGCCATCTTCCACTGCTTTCCCAGGCCATAGTAGAGAGCTGGATCGGAAGTTGAGCAGTCGGGACTCAAACTGGTACCCATGTGGGATACCAGTACTACAAGTGGCAGCCTGACCCACTATACCACAGCACTGGCCCCAAGATTTATTTATTTATTTGAAAGAGCATCAGAAAAAAGAGAGTGAAATCGATCTTCCATATGCTGATTCACTCCCCAAATATCCCTAACAGCAGAAGGGTGAGGCAGGAGCCAGGATAGCCATACGGGTCTCCCACATGGGTGGCGGGGACCCAGTACGTGGGCCATTACCTGCTGTGCATGAACAGAGAGCTGGATTGGAAATGGAGCACTAAGATGCAAACCAGTCTCTGATCCAGGATGCTGGCATCAAGTGCTGGCCCTGCAAGCAGCAGCTTACCCCCTGCACCACAACACAGCTCTAATTTTATCAGATCTTGCCACATGATTTTCCCACAGTCTTGCCAACATTGGCTGTTACTTGAACAGTGGTGCAAAGGCCCAAGGGCTTGGGCCGTCCTCCACTGCTTGTCCAGGCAAATTAGCAGGGAGCTGGATTGGAAGTGGGGCAGCCGGTCCCACATGGGATGCTGGTGCTACAGGCCGGGGTTTTAACCCACTGCGCCACAGTGCCGGCCCAATAATCCCCTCCCCTTGCTTAATAAGCAGCCTTCCTAAGACTCCCTAGTATACCAGCATCTCATTATAGTTCTTTGCCTACCTGTCGCTTAGTAACTAGCAATTCTATAATAGTTGCTTTTGTAAAATCACTCACTCAAACATTGCAGCAGACATCTCTGAATACAAGCATGTGTAGGACACGACTTGTCCCGAGGCATGCGCCAAGGACTCGCCACACCCCTTTCCTCTGCACCTATCACGTGCAGTCACTTTGTTTCTCTCAGCTCCTCTCCATCTGCCCTGATTCCATCGGTTCACAAATCCCTTGCTGTACAGGAAGATTGATTTAGGGCTTGACATGAGTTGCCTCTTTCTTCTTCTTCTTTTTTTTTTTTATGATTTATTTATTGGGCCGGACTGTGGTGCAGTGGGTTAAAGCCCGGCCTGTAGCACCGGCATCCCATGTGAGCACCGGTTCAAATCCCGGTTGCTCCACTTCCAATCCAGCTCCCTGCTAATGTGCCTGGGCAAGCAGTGGAGGATGGCCCAAGCCCTTGGACCCCTGCACCTAGGTGGGAGACCCAGAGGAAGCTTGTGACTCTTGGCTTCAGATCAGCTCAGCGCCCCCCGCCCCAAAAAAAGATTTATTTAGGCAGCGCTGTGGTGCGGGGGCCGGGCGGGGCGGAGATCGCTCCCAGCCGCTGGCGCACGCTCCCGTTTTCATAGTTCCTGGTCAACGTAGAAATGTGGATTCCCTTGGCCGAGTCCTCATGCAGGTGAAATCATCATGGTCCTGCTGCTGCAGGTGTGTGAGTAGCACTGTTTCTGCAACAGAGCCTCAAGCCACCGCGCGTGGGAAGAGGATGGCCGCTTGAGGGGCGCAGTCTTTCTCATGCTGGCGGCGTCCTGTGTCTGCAGCACTGTCT